ATATTATCAATCAATGCATTTAACATGGCCTTTTTCCTGACAAATTAAAGTTAACCATAATCAAACCTATTTTTAAGAAAAACGACAGAAATTACATGAGCTGTTATAGACCGATAGCATTAATACCGGTTCTATCTAAAGTTTTTAAAAAAGTGATTCATGAAAGATTAAATAATTATTTCGAAACAAATAATTTATTTTCAAAAGAGCAGGTAGGTTTCAGAAAGAACAATACTATAAATATGGCAGTTTTCTCATTTTTAAAGAGTGTTATGGTAAACATGGATAATAAAAATCATGCCTGCACCCTTTATATGGACCTAACAAAGGCATTTGACTATGTTGACCACAATATATTGCTAGATAAGCTATTTGCCTATGGAGTTAGGGGAAATACGCATGATCTTATTAGGAGCTATATTGGTAACAGAATACAGTCTACACACATAACGAGATTGTGTCCTCACAGAAAAATTATATGTGACTATGAATCAGAGTACAAAATCAATAACTTTGGTGTGCCACAAGGCAGTGTATTGGGTCCATTATTATTTATTATATACATAAATGATCTCCCGAAAGTAACAAGCAATGACACTATTTTATTTGCTGACGACAGTACAATTATATTTACAGGAAAAGAAAAAACACAAATAGAATTGGACATAAACAATACCTTAGATAATATTATTAAATGGTTGACTTTAAATAATTTAAAAATAAATTTGGAAAAAACTAAATTAATGACGTTTCGAAACAGAGTTCACAAATTAACGGACATGAAAATCTACTATACACAAACAAAAATTGAAGAAGTAGAGACAATAAAATTCTTGGGACTAAACATTGATTCTCAACTAAACTGGAAGTCACATACGAGATGTTGTGTTCGAAACTTAATAAATATTCATATGCAATCTACATGTTGTCCAAAACTGCCAGTACATCCACAGTTTTAACGGCTTACCATGGACATGTTACTCCTCTTTTAATGTATGGTGTTTTGTTTTGGGGCAACTCTGTGGGAAAAAGAGTTGGTCTTTAGGGCGCAAAAGAGATGCGTTCGGGCTATATACAGAATGAAACAAACCGAGAGCTGTAGGTTGACATTTTCAAAGATTAAAATATTGACACTACCGTGTATTTATATACTGGATATGGTGCTATTTGTATGGGAAACTAAGCATTATAGAAACAGAAATGCAAAGAAAGAAAATTGACATACTTGGTTTGAGTGAAACTCACCGGAGAGGCTCTGGCTATTTTACATCTGACTTGGGTAATACAGTATACTTCTCTGGACCTGAAAATGAAAGCAACCGAGGAGTCGCATTCATCGTTCCACCACTAATTAACAAATGCGTTCTCGGATATAAAGCTATTAACGAGAGAATACTCACTCTTAAGCTAAACGCCAAACCATGCAAACTAAACATCATCCAAGTTTATGCCCCTACAGCTCAAAGTACTGAAGAAGATATGGAGGCTTTCTATGGTCATCTGTCCGCAACTATAAAAGCAATACCAAAACGAGAAATTACTATGATTGTAGGTGACCTCAACGCAAAGGTCGGTGTCACATTAGATGATAACCATTTAAGACGGCACGTTGGTCTATTTGGAATAGGAGAACGTAACGAAAGAGGGGATAGATTGTTACAGTTCTGTAGCGAAGAAAACCTCACTCTGATGAACACCTGCTTTCGCCAGCATATTAGACGACTATACACCTGGATATCTCCCGGCGATCGTTTTCGAAACCAGATAGACTACATAATGATTCAGTCACGATGGAGATCCTCTATACTTAACTCCAAGACCTACCCGGGAGCAGACTGCGGAAGCGACCACCAGCTTCTCATGTGTACATTTAAACTTAGACTAAAGAAACTTAACAAACAGAAGTCTATGCAGAATTTTAAAACAGTTCACATTAGCGACTTTAGATCTGGGTTGGAGAACTCACTTACGGCGATGACAGCACAGAGTACCAACAAAGACGACTGCAAAGTATCGTGGGAAGAGTTAAGAGATGCAATTATAGAGCAAGCGAATAAAAATAAAATTCACGCAGCAGCAACCATGAATAGTCATTTTAGGATGGAGACATCTAAAATAATATTGGAAAGGCGCATGCTTAAGAAAAAGGGTTTCGTTTCAGAAGAAGATCATAAACGCTACGCAGAATTGAGTCAGGAGATACAGAGGCGGTGCCGAAAAGACACCAATGATTACATCAACAATATCTGCTGCGAACTCGAACGGCACGCCGAAAAGAAGGAAACCCACGAACTTTTTAAAAGGGTGCGCGAACTAAGCAAGAGCAAGATCGTTCAAACATGGGCCATAGAAGACAAAAACGGAAACCTACTTAGCGACTTAGATACAGTGTTGGAACGCTGGAGACAATACTGTGCCGAACTTTACTGTACACAGGACACATCTGCTCGTGTTAACAATAATTGGAATACTATGAATGACCCAGAACCTAGTATTTTAGACGCCGAAGTAGAACAAGCAATAAAGGCATTAAAAACGAACAAATCACCTGGTAAAGATAGCATTCCAGCAGAACTTTTAAAAGCCATGGGTCCAATAGGCCGGAAAATTATAGTAAACATCTGCAACTCGATTTGGAATACAGGCGTATGGCCTAGAGAATGGACTGAATCTGTTTTTGTGCCCTTGCATAAGAAAAATTATTTGTTCCAAAAGTAATTGTACAAACTACAGGACAATCTCCTTAATTTCGCACACCAGCAAAGTCATGCTGTATATAATAAATCAACGTCTTAAGAATTTCCTAAACAGGCAGATTCCCAACGAGCAAGCTGGCTTCGTAAAGGGCAAGGGCACAAGAGAACAAATTTTAAATATCAGGCAGATTATTGAAAAGAGTCGCGAGTTTGCCAATCCAGTGTTACTGTGCTTCATCGATTACAGTAAGGCATTTGACTGCGTCCGTTGGGATAAACTATCGTCAATATTGGTCGAAATGGGAGTACCAACACACCTAGTCAGCCTAATTGCCAACCTGTATGATAACAACCGATCTTATGTGAGACTCGATGGCAGTCTTTCCAAAGAGTTTATGACTACGAAAGGCGTGAGACAAGGTTGTATATTGTCTCGGTTGCTCTTTAATATATATGCGGAGTACATCATGCGGAAAACCATGGAAGGCTGGGATAAAGGGTTTCATATTGGGGGTAAAAGGGTGGCTAACTTGCGATATGCGGACGACACTGTGCTTTTTGCAACATCTTATGAGGACATGGAGGAGCTGCTGCATAAGCTAGAATTAGAAAGCGAAGGATAGCAATAGCAATAGCTAAGGATGCGATGACCAGGCTGACAAACATCTGGAGAAACAGAAGCATAACAAATAATACTAAATTACGCCTAGTATATACTCTTATATTCCCAATTTTTCTCTATGGAGTGGAAACATGGACTATACGCGTCAGAGAAAGGGAGAGAATTGATGCGTTCGAAATGTGGTGCTGGCGGCGAATGCTGCGAATACCGTGGACTGCGAAGCGCACAAACGTGTCAATCCTATTGCAACTCAAGATCAAGACGCGTCTTTCCACCACATGTCTTCAGCGCATCCTCAGCTATTTTGGTCATATCTCTCGCCGCGGGGACGAAAGTATCGAAAAATTGATAGTTGTTGGAAACGTAGAGGGAAGAAGGCCCAGAGGTAGATTTCCAACCCGGTGGTCCGACCAAGTCAAAGAAGTCGGTGCGCGAAATTTCTACGACGCTCTGCGTATGGCCAGCGATAGGACCCGGTGGAGAGAGATTATAAACAATAAATTTACTCTCCGTGATGGTGATCACGATCCTCAGTCATGAGGGACCGACTAGAGAGAGAGAGAGAGCTATTTGTAAGAAATAATAGTAACTTATTTGTTAAATTAAAAAGCAAGAGATACCCTTTCCAAATAAGCTTCATGTATAACAAAACTAAACTTTTAAACAGCAGTATATTTTGTATGATTCCGAGAGTGTATAATCATTTACCCAACTCTCTGCTTGAAATTTCAAATAATAATTTATCTAAAAAAAGTGAAGACACTACTTTTAGAAAAATCATATTATTCGGTAAGAGAATTTCTTGAAGACAAATTAATAGATGTAGTATTGTAACCGGCTTAGTGGTACTGTGACATTAATTAGACATTTTATGTGACATTATTTTACAAAGTTGACATTGTGTATTAATTAGGTAATCTCATTTGACATTATTTTAAATATTATTTAGACACTGTGATTTGATATGTAATAATTTTAATTTAATATATAGCATATAATTAAGAATTTTTGCATGGCATGAGCCTAAATATGGCGATCAACAATGTAAATTGACCACTGTAACACCATCTGTACCATATTGCGCAAATAAAGAATTATTAATAATAATAATAATATAATATTATTAATTAATTAATAATTATATAATAATAAGGCGTAGGGAAGTGACGACCCCATCGCCCGCTGATATAACGGTTATGTGACAAAACCGCTACGTCGGCGCAGTCAGTCAGCACCTTGCCAAGAGGTGTTAGTGCCGTGCCTCGGCAAAAATTGAAGGTGCCAAGGCCCGCTTGTGCACATGGCCTAACCATGAAACGGCGCCGGGTCTGGGCGTCTCCCGCTAAATGACGCCCTAAAATGGATGATGGAATCAAATGGAACGCGCAAAGGGCCGCTGCCTGGAGGTCGCCAGGGCGCGTCTGGAGCTGGCGCTGGACGCGACAGCATGCGAACCGCCAGCCGAGCGCGAGGTGCTGCACGACCACCCAGCAGCTCCTCGCATCCATCATCCCCACCAGCTGGCTTGGTGTCGGCAGGGTCTTCGCGGGCTCAGCAATCGGCACCCGCCACTGGTGGAGTACGCCGCATGCGTTGGACAACCCAGATGAACAGCAACGCATTGCGGGCGTATTTTAGGGCGAAAGGGGGGAGAAACTGGAGGTTTTGCGTATCGGGCAAGGATGCATCGACTTTTTGCTGAGCTGGAGCCATCTGTAACCGTCACCGAGCAAAACCTGGCAGACCGAGTTCGGTATATCTTGCGCTCAAATACATTTGATGTCACCGAACTCGAACGGCTACGACGTGAGGCTGTTCCTTCATCGGGTGAAAATGCTGCGGCTGAGGATGCGGCGCCACAACTTGCTGAGCAAACGGCAAATGTGGATGCCGCCGTGAATACGCCAGTTGTGGTTGATTCAAACGATGATGGAACAGTCGCCCAGGAACTGGAACTAGAGCAAATGAGGAGTACATTGGAAGAGGCGATTGTGGAAACGCGCAGTACGACTCTCGAAAATCGACCGCGACTTCCCCGCTTAGCCCTAAGCAAGCGGAATCGGGCTGTCGTGAGGGCTCTGAACCCAATGCTGGTTACCTATTTGGAAGCCAGCCGGGACCTTTGCGATACGGACTCAATTCTTTTTGGCGCCGCACTGGCAGTCTGCCGTATTATAGGTGCCAAACTTTCCACGGCTGGACGCGCTACTGGACAAAGTAGTGCTATCCCAGCCTGGAGAATAAGAATTGAAGAACGTATCGCAAAGGCTAGGGCCCTCATCGGCAGACTGATATGCTTCAGGTCAGGCAATACCAGGCCAAGGATTGTGCGCACCGTCAGGATGGCGTTTGCTGGGACAAATGTTAGTTTGTCCCAGCCGGATATAATGCAAAAACTGACGGAGCGCATAGACGACCTGAAGCAAAGAATAGCTGCTTGGGGAAAGCGGATTCGGCGATATACCGAGAGGTCGACACGGTTCAACCAGAATCGTCTCTTCCAGAGTGATCAGAAGAGGCTCTATAAATCATTGGAGCGACCAATAGTAAGTGGAACGGGCCCTGCACCAAATCAGGCCGACATGGTCGCATTCTGGCGCAGCCTGTGGTCAGAGCCCGTAAACCACAACGAGGGCCCTTGGACGGAAGTTGTGGCGAGTCAGTGTGCGAGTATTACGCCCATGGACCCCGTCATCATAAGCCGGATGACGTAGCTGAGGCGGTCCGTAGGGCCCCGAACTGGAAAAGTCCGGGGCTTGACGGGCTGCATCACTACTGGCTGAAGGGGTTCATGGTGTGTCACTCTGTGCTCGCCCGACAGTTTCAAGAGGCTCTCAACCAGAAGTCGCTCCCAAGCCTCTTCACTACTGGGATCACTCATTTGGTTCCTAAAGATCAGGGTGCCACAGACCCGAGCAAATACCGCCCCATCACGTGTCTACCGACCATATACAAGACACTAACATCCATTTTGAGCGCAAGAATCGCTCGTCACCTGGACTTAAATCAGGTGATGTCGCGCGCTCAAAATGGATGTCGGGGCGGCGGTCGTGGAACCAAGGAACCACTCCTCATTGACGCGGTCATTGGCAAAGTGGTGAAACGCAACCGTCGGAACTTCTCCGCCGCCTGGATAGATTACAGAAAGGCATTTGACTCGGTGCCCCATACATGGCTAAAGAGGGTCCTCGAGCTGTACAAGATTGACTGTACAGTTCGAGACTTCCTCGAGCAGTGTATGGGGCAGTGGAGTACGATCCTCTGTCATCTAGGCGAGCGGATGACGGCTGCGGAAAGCCGCATAAGGATAAGAAGGGGTATATTCCAGGGCGACTGTCTGAGTCCAATCTGGTTCTGCCTCTCTTTGAACCCTCTCAGTACTTTACTGGAGGGCTCCGGGAGGGGATTTCAGCTTCGGAAAGGAGGTACAAAAGTGACCCACCTTTTCTATATGGATGACCTCAAATTATTCGCCTCCAGTCGCTCCCATCTTATGGAATTGCTAAACATCACGTGTGAATTTAGCAATTCTATTAGAATGGAGCTGGGGACGGATAAGTGTGCGGTCCTCCATGTTGAAAGGGGAAGGGTTGCTAACTCTGAGGGCATAGACTTATCTATGCCCGTCAACTTAAGAACCCTTTCCGAGGCTGAAACATACCGATACCTGGGTATGTCACAGAACATCGGTATCGATGAGGCTGGTATGAAACAGTCAGTTTGCGACGTGTTTTATGCACGCTTGACCAAAGTGCTTAACAGCCTTTTGTCCGGTGTGAATAAGGCACACGCATATAACGGTTGGGTCATGCCTGTCCTCATGTATACCTTTGGCATACTCAGGTGGACTCAGACTGAACTTAACGCCCTGGATAGAAAAGTCCGCACTACCATGACGTCCCATAGGATGCATCATCCGAGATCGTCGGTAATGAGGCTGTACTTGCCGCGGAAGCATGGTGGTCGTGGCTTCTTGAGCGCGCTCACCATGCATAATCGCGAAGTGTGCAGCCTCCGTGATTACTTCCTTGCGAGATCGGATGATCCATTCTATAAGGACGTCATTTCTTGTGATAAAGGACTTACCCCTCTATCCTTAGCCAACGAGCAATGGCAAGACCCGGCAGTGCAGAGCATTTCCGACCGGGAGACCGTATGGAAGGAGAAGGAGCTCCACGGGAGGTTCTACAAGGCTCTACATGAGCCTTTCGTAGACACAGTAGCCTCCCTCCACTGGCTACGCTTTGGTGATCTCTTCGGGGAAACCGAGGGTTTTGTCTGTGCAATACAGGATCAGGTTATTAAGACCAACAACTATCGGAGATACATCCTAAAGGATGGCACCGTCGACATCTGTCGAGCTTGTCGCCATCCCGGTGAGTCACTTAGGCATGTTATCTCCGGTTGTTCGGCGCTTTCTAACTCTGAGTACTTGCACAGGCACAACCTAGTAGCCAGAATTCTACACCAGGAGCTCGCTCTGAAATACGGTCTCGTGGATCGGAAATTGCCGTATTACAAGTACTTGCCGGAAGCCGTGCTCGAAAATGATCGCGCCAGGCTCTATTGGGACCGGGCCATCATCACAGACAGGACTATTCTTGCGAATAAGCCTGATATTGTGCTGATGGACCGGGCACAGTCAAGGATATTTTTGGTCGACATTACCATTCCGTATGACGAGAACCTCGTGAAAGCCGAAACAGACAAGCAAACAAAATATCTGGACCTGGCTCACGAGGTGACCGACATGTGGGGTGGTCTGCCGACCGAAATTATTCCTGTAGTCGTCTCTGCAAACGGGCTAATCCCAGTCAGCCTCTCGGGTCATCTGAGGCGGCTGGGACTACGTGGCGGACCGCTCCAGGTTCAAATGCAGAAGGCGGTGCTCCTCGATACCGCCCGCATCGTCCGCCGGTTTCTTTCCCTTTCCCCCTAACCCTCGGCCGTTTGGTCTCCCCTGCCGAGGGCCTCCATCTGGTTGGGCTTTTACTTATTTATGTACTTTTATATTTATTTTATGTTATTGATATTTATGTATATTTATCTTTTCATTTTCATTTATAATTATATATTTATAGAACCCAACCAGATGAGAAAACTATATAGATACACCATAATAATAATAATATGGATGACCTCAAATTATTCGCCTCCAGTCGCTCCCATCTTATGGAATTGCTAAACATCACTTGTGAATTTAGCAATTCTATTGGAATGGAGCTGGGGACGGACAAGTGTGCGGTCCTCCATGTTGAGAGGGGTAGGGTTGCTAACTCTGAGGCCATAGACTTATCTATGCCCGTAAACTTAAGGACCCTTTCCGAGGCTGAAACATAACGATACCTGGGTATATCACAGAACATCGGTATCGATGAGGCTGGTATGAAACAGTCAGTTTGCGACACGTTTTATGCACGCTTGACCAAAGTGCTTAACAGCCTTTTGTCCAGTATGAATAAGGCACACGCATATAACGGCTGGGTCATGCCTGTCCTCATGTATACCTTTGACATACTCAGGTGGACTCAGACCGAACTTAACGCCCTGGATAGAAAAGTCCGCACTACCATGACGTCCCATAGGATGCATCATCCGAGATCGTCGGTAATGAGGCTGTACTTGCCGCGCTGCCGCCTGCCGGCTTCCTGAGCGCGCTCACCATGCATAATCGCGAAGTGTGCAGCCTCCGTAATTACTTCCTGGTGAGATCGGATGATCCATTCTATAATGACGTCATTTCTAGTGATAAAGGACTTACCCCTCTATCCTTAGCCAACGAGCAATGGCAAGACCCGGCAGTACAAAGCATTTCCGACCGGGAGACCGTATGGAAGGAAAAGGAGCTCCACGGGAGGTACTACAGGGTTCTACATGATCCCTTCGTAGATACAGTCGCCTCCCTCAACTGGCTACGTTTCGGTGACCTTTTTGTGGAAACCGAGGGTTTTGTCTGTGCAATACAGGATCAGGTTATTAAGACCAACAACCATCGGAGATACATCCTAAAGGATGGCACCATCGACGTCTGTCGAGCTTGTCGCCATCCCGGTGAGTCACTTAGGCATGTCATCTCCGGTTGTTCGGCGCTTTCTAACTCTGAGTACTTGCACAGGCACAACCTAGTAGCCAGAATTCTACACCAGGAGCTCGCTCTGAAATACGGTCTCGTGGATCGGAAATTGCCGTATTACAAGTATTTACCGGAAGCCGTGCTCGAAAATGACCGCACTAGGCTCTACTAGGACCGGACCATCATTACAGACAGGACTATTGTTGCGAATAAGCCTGATATTGTGCTGATGGACCGCGCACAGTCAAGGATATTTTTGGTCGACATTACCATTCCGTATGACGAGAACCTCGTGAAAGCCGAAACAGATAAACGAACAAAATATCTAGACCTGGCTCACGAGGTGACCGATATGTGGGGTGGTCTGCCGGCCGAAATTATTCCTGTAGTCGTCTCTGCGAATGGGCTAATCCCAGTCAGCCTCTCGGGTCATCTGAGGCGACTGGGACTCCGTGACGGACCGCTCCGGGCTCAAATGCAAAAGGCGGTGCTTCTCGATACCACCCGCATCGTCCGCCGGTTTCTTTCCCTTTCCTCCTAACCCTCGGCCGTTTGGTCTCCCCTGCCGAGGGCTTCCATCTGGTTGGGCTTTTATTTATTTATGTATTTTTGTATTTATTTTATTTTATTGATATTTATGTATATTTATCGTTTCATTTTAATTTATAATTATATATTTATATAACCCAACCAGATGAGAAAACTATATAGATACCCCAAATAATAATATATATTTATTGATATATCTGTGTATCTTTATGTCTGTGTATCCGTGTGCCTGTCTGTGGCATCATAGCTCCTGACCGTAAGAACCGATTTTAATTAAGTTTGTTTCGTTTGAAAGGTGTCTTAATTGAGAGTGTTCTTAGCTACGTTTCAAGAAAATCTATACAGCTGTTTGAAGATCATAAGTTTTTTTTTGTTTCGGGGGTTTTTAAGATTTGTGATTTAAGTTTTTGGGTTTTTTAATTCCGGCTTACTCCGATTTATTATTTTTAACCGTTTCAAGTGGACTAAATCTATAGCTCAAGATCAAGGTTCCAATTAGAATGTAGTCTATATGTTATGTTTGAAATTTTCATACTCGCTTTGTTGACATTTAGGTGTGACATTTTTATTCAGTTTTAAATAGAAGCATCCATGTGGTAAAACATATAGAATTATTAGTATTAAATATACAAAAGAATCATTAAAATGCGGAATTTTTTACTTGAACTAAAAGCATTCCATTTTTATTCAGTTTTACTTATGATATAAACAATACGATACATAAAATCCCTGTAATTTTTATAAAATTTGTCAATTTTTTTTGATAATAATATTACTTGACCAGCCACTTATTCCTCCATAATTTATAGCATAGATTTATGCGGAGAAATATTTAATACAATGACCTACCATCATTAGTCGCGGACATGATAATGGCATCTGCTTCCCGTGTTCTAAGCGATAAAACACAGGAAATACAAATGAAAGTCCTTTGTAGGGGTTCACTCAATGATTTGTATTTTAATTGTGTTTTGATATGGTTGTGATATATCAAATCAAAATGGCAAATCCCGAGCGGTAGCATGCGATCGCACCCACCCACAGAGTCCACTGAGACTGACTGATCTGACTGAGACCACTGAGAACCATTAA